AAAAGTGAAGCCATTCTTTACAGTCTCTTTCTGCAAGTACTGGAGAACTGGAGATGATGTCTGGGGTTTTTCCCATCATGACCTGATATGCTGCAAACATGGCCACAATACACGACTTTCCTTCTCCTGTTCCAACCTGAACCAGCCGACTGGATTCAGAAAGCACCAGAATGCACCAGCTCACCATCTGAGTCAGTCGAGGTGGGAAGTTCATCGTCTTTTCTACAGCTTTGCAGAGTTGAAACAGCCGTTGCTTTATTCCTTGTAGATGTGGTGCTGAAGAAGCTGATAGACATTTGGACACAGAGCTCACAATGTCTTTCACTTCTGCCAGAGTTTGTTCATCTATAACTGCTTGCTTTTCAATTTCCATTAGAATCTCATCCAGTGTTTTCTCCTCAGTGCTTTTGGTTATTTTGTTAATTTTGTCCTCAACATCATCCACAATCTCACCATTCAGTGTCAAATCTGATACGCTTATTTTGTGAATCTCCACTTGATGAAGGGTTTTCATCATCCATGTGTGAAAATCTTCATTCCTGCCATTAAACTGCTCCACCAGGGCTTTAAACAACTTCACAACATCATCTTTATCCCATTGTCCATTCTTGAGCAGGGAAAGCAGTCGTGCTGACAGCAGTTTTCCTGATGACTCCATTTTCAAGAGTCTGAAAGTTGTCTTAATATTTTTTCACAATGCAGCATCTTTCTTTGTGTTAAAAAAGAAGCGTAGAAGTAAATTAAACAACTACTAAAATAACTTGCATAAACACAATGACAAATAAACACTGTGCGCTGCCATCCAAAATGTTTGGAAGCAGTAAGATTTGTTAATGTTTTAAAAGAAGCCAATTCTGCTCAGTAAGGCTCTATTTATTTGATCACAAATACAGTGAAAACTCTTCGATTGTGAAATATTAGCATTATAAAACAGTTTTCTTATTAAATGCAGTTTTAAATTCCTGTCATTTAAAGCTGTATCATTCACTGTCTCATGATCATTCAAAAATCATAATATGATGATTTGCTGTTATATTATGATCCATTATTATGACTAATAATGATTTTTACAATTGTCAGCACTAGAAAGATGTTCCTCCTGCTTCATCTAATCGTGGAAACTGTGATGCATTTTACTTTCAACATACTTTGATTTAAAAAGAAAGTTCATTATACTACTTTACATTTTTATTCTTTTTTACATTTATAAATGTATGTAAACTATAAAAGACTGCAATCAAAAGCCTTAAACTGTCAGATTGTAATTATCATCAATAAGAAATGTAGTTTCAAATAAGGCTTTTTAAAATTGTAATAATATTTTAAGATTTTAATGTATTTGTTGCAGTGTTGGGCTGTAGCGTCGCTACAAGTAGTGGCACTATTAGCTTAACTACATTTTTCAGTAGCGTGGCGGTAGCATCACTACTTTCTAAAACAAATAGCTTTTCAGTAACAAAGCTAAGATTTTTTGGAAATAGAACAGTAGCGTCCACACAAGTTACTTTTACTGATCGTTGATCATTAAGTAATGCCGCTGCCATTCACGGATCTACGAGGTTGGTGTCTGGCTGATGAAGGTTAATCCATTTTATAGTGAGTGGTGAATTCTTTGCGTTTTATGGTGGTTGAAAACAAACTTTTGGGTGACTTACTGTCTGCCACCTCTCGCTGGTCGAGTCAGTCATTGGGCTGACATGATAAGCTTGCTTGATGGAAAGATGACTGTAGAGGAATTGTTTCTGAAGCAGGACCATACCTCGAGAAGTACATGTTATTTCTCACGCTGTACTCTTGTTAGAGTTAAATTGTTTTTTAATGTATTTACTGTTTGTTCTGCAAATGTGCCCAAGTGCACTTACATGAGAAAAAAAAAAACTGTATATATGTGTGTGTGTGTGTGTGTGTGTGTGTGTGTGTGTGTGTGTGTAGTTAATTGTAAATACAGTATTCAAAGTATCTAAAAAACTGTAGTGTTTTTGAACAATACTACAGAGAAATAATTGAATTAATTTGTTGTGGTACTTTTACAGTTGGAATACATATGTATATATGACTGCATTGTTCTCTACAATTTTATATTGATTTTTTTTATTGTTGTGAAAGCTAAAGTATACTTTATTAGTATTAGTTCATGATAGTTACTAATAATACTATACTGTGAAGAGTTGCAGTGATGCAAAACCCTCTAAATCCATCAGAACTCTTTTCTTGTAAACAAGCATTTTCTATCAGGCTCCTATAATTAGGTACAGAAGTTTCAGTTTATAGATAACGAAAAGGTTATCATCTAGTAAATAAAAAAAAAACTTTTTTTTTTCATAAATGTCACTTTAGGCAATTCTTTGGTTTTTAACAAATTAGATTTTCTTTTGTGTCAAAACCAGCTAAATCCACGTCTGCTTTTATTGCAAAGACCTCTAAATCCACCTATCGGGACTAAACAGTGGATTTAGTTGAAAAATTACCAAAGATGCAATTTGAAATAACTTTACCAAACATAAAACACATTACACAAACCACCTGAAATTAAAAATACATCTATTAAGCAAGTGGCGGTTCATTCCGCTGTGGTAAACCATTCATTTTCCTTCTGCTTTTTCCCTGATTGAAATCTGTCAAGTCCATTAATCAATAACATTAAAACTGACAATAATTAAATCTGAACAATTTGTCATTTTATTAAATTTGGGATTTAGATTTAATGTAAGTAGGACATTGTAAACATTGAAAACTAAGCTGAAATACTGTAGTGTAAAACATAGTGAAACATCAATATCTGTGCATTGTCCATTAATACAAAAAGCTTATCAAATGTATTGGTAATATGAAGTAGGTCAATATAAATGTATAGTTTTATACATTTATCCTTTTTAAAATAGCTTAAATAAGCAAATAAAACACAAGGTAGGCCTACTAGGCAAAAGGGATGCCTCAGATCATTTTAGAAGCTGTCATTTATTCATTCTCACCATACTTTAGGTCTTGGTTTCTTTTTTTTAACGTGCAAACAACGATCTTGACATTTAACACTGCTCTGACGACAATTGTCATTGAAGTAATCTCATAGGTATTTAGTAGATCTGTGCAAAAGGCCTGCCAACACAAACAAATCCTGGTAGAAACAGCATAGATGATTGCTTTACTTGTCATTAATACAATATTTTAAATGTGCAACACCTGGTTTTCTTGATTATTTTGTTTTTGCTGTCTGGTAAAGTTTGTTTCTGTTTGGAACCGCATATTAATTAAAGTAAATAACATAACAATTATGCTGCATCTGCTTCACTGGCTGCTTTATTGATCACCTAAGACAGAACTGATTTGGATTGAAGCTAAAAATGAAAAATAAAGAGGCTTAGATTTAGCTAAACTACTTATGCCATGTTGCTTTTAGCGTAGCTTGTTACACTTCCCAGGGGGTAGCTTTTAGTGTAGTAAAGCTACATTTTAAGTAGAGTAACTAATAGCTTAGCTCACTACATTTTCCAAGTAGCTTTTCCAGCACAGATTTTTTTGATTCAATAAATGCAGCCTTGGTGAGCAGAATTGGCTTCTGTTAAAATATTACTGCCTCAGTATTTAATAGGTGATCTTAGAGCATTTATATCAGGTACTTACTTTATTTGATTCCCAGTGGCTGAATAAGTTGTCGCAGTAGCTCGTCCTGATTTACTTCTGAAAAGTGTTTCTTTCTTGATGAGAGGAAGACGGCTCCAGTGCTGTGGAATTTCCAAATGTATTGGAACTTGTCGTCAGCTCACTGTTGTCCCGTGGTTTAAGTAACATTAGCTGTGCTGTAATGAACATTGTGGTAAATTCCACAAATCTGAAATTCTGTACAAACTTAAGTGACTTCATGCCTAAAAACCCAAGTAGCCCATTTCAACATAACTGTACATGTGTAGTCAAACTACTTGTCATCTTATTTTTAAACTTATTTGATCTTTGCATGCACGCACACACACACACACACAAACACTAAAGGGTTGTTTTAGTATCTCACTGTATAAGTTAAGACAATTGAGCCCTCACAAGTATGTCTAAACCTGTACACACACGTATTGTGATTCTTTTTTTTTTTGATTGTCTGATTGTATGCGTTCACTATAGTTTTGGTAAGTACTGAGAATATCTAATGGTACTGTTTACGGTAGTTGTGTTACCAGGTATCTTTGTGTTTCAGGTGTGGTGGTGTACTACTTTACCAGGTGCTTGTGTAAGATTTTGTAGGAGAGAGATGTATTTTAGTTTATAGATATAATAAACAACAGTCAAAAACAAACACAAGGAAGCAAATACTCGTTCATTCATTCATTTTTCAATTAATCAACAATTCATTTTCCTTCAGCTTAGTCCCTAAATTCATCAGGGGTCGCCACAGCAGAAATAACCGCCAACTTATGCATACGTTTTACACAGCGGATGCCCTTCCAGCTGTAATCTGGTACTGGGGGAAGCAAATGTTAAAGTGAAATAAACAGTGCTTTATGATTTTCTGTGGAGAGACTAATAGCATTCGGGTACAGAAACTAAATAATCAAATGTAAAATAATAATGCGTAGTCTTCATCATGTAAATTTAAAATGTATTTTTATTAAACTTCTTGGGCGAGGCAGTGGCGCAGTAGATAGTGCTGTTGCCTCACAGCAAGAAGGTTGCTGGGTCGCTGGTTCGAACCTCGGCTCTGTGTGGAGTTTGCATGTTCTCCCTGCCTTCGCGTGGGTTTCCTCCGGGTGCTCCAGTTTCCCCCACAGTCCAAAGACATGCGGTACAGGTGAATTGGGTAGGCTAAATTGTCCGTAGTGTACGAGTGTGTGTGTGAATGTGTGTGTGGATGTTTCCCAGAGATGGGTTGCGGCTGGAGGGGCATCCGCTGCGTAAAAACTTGCTAGATAAGTTGACCCCAGATTAATAAAGGGGCTAAGCCGACAAGAAAAAGAATGAATGAATGAATAATTTTCTTTGTGCTGTTAAAATGCTTTTATTTTGTTTTTCAGATATTGTTCTGTGTTTTTCTACGCACAATAGAGATGTTGGTCTATATATGGAAGGAAACTGGCTGGTGCTCATCTAATCAGGACCATGTGAAGTGTACACTTGTGGTGTGGTAAGTCATAATGGTCTGCTTTAAGTCATGTAGTTTTCTGCTGAACAATGCTTTAAAAACCTCTGTAGACCTTTTTGTTAAAGGTGTTATATTCTTTGCTTGTTTTAAAAGTGGTAAACTACAGTGCATCTGAAAAAGCAGAGGAAATTTGGCTATTTTATAAAATATATGGCTGATTCCAGCGTTATGGACGTGACATTTGCAGTAAAAAAATGAAACGTATATTCTCAGAGAAGGTATATGTTAACAGTATATTGAAATATATGTTTATATTTTTCTTACCCCTTAACCATGGAGTTCAGGCATCAAAAAAATATCAGTCTATGCAGGTGTTTTATATTTAAAATGACGGCAAAATGAATGCGTTACGGACGTGACAAAAAAAAGACATGAGTTTTGTGAGTTGACATACTTTGTGAAAATTCTGTGAATGAAAATGCAGAAGCCAAAAAAATATATAACAGTCAAAAGGATAAGGGTTGGCTCTGCATGGGACATATATAATTAATTTTATTTAGTTTTTCATTTTTGCATTAATGAGGAAAAACTATCGTTACGGACGTGACTTGTCTTCGTTACGGACGTGACTGCTCTGAAATTGACAGTTGACATATTATGAAAATCAGATAAATGCTTTCAAAACTTGACCAAAGACCTATTTGTGGATATCTGTTGGGTGTGTAAACCAATAAACTTTAACCTCTGAGACATCTGAATGGTAAGGTTGCACAATTAATCAAACTTAAATAGATATCACCTTGTTATTTAATTCGTATTATGGCATGTGTGTTGTTAAAGGTTAACGCACGTTCGAATGTTCAAAACTCAATTCGGTAACAATGTTGCATGCTAACATGGTGCTTTTATACTCTGAATAATATAGAATTGATAATAAACATAATCAGCTATAATGGGCCTATGTTTAGCAGGCTCCTAAAGTTAGTGTTTCCAGACAAACTTGAATTAAATCATTGCCCGACTGTTGCGCAAGACCGTGTCTACGTGGAGAATATTTAAAATCTAGTTTTGTCACAGATATGGCAATATTATATTTGACAAAGTTTATTTTAGTTTATTCTAGTTAACGTGTTAGTTGATGGAATAAATAATTTAATTTCTCCACTCGCGCTTGCTTTCTTTTTCTCGTCGGCAGTCACTTCAGGACAGGTTGCAAAAAGTTCATACGCACCAGGGTGAGAGAGAAAACTTTAAAACTTAAGAAAGGTTTTGTGTAGGCTATGTTAAACAAGCATAGAAAAATAGTCATTGGTTGTAGGCATGTACGATGGATGACTATAATGTTTATATTTTTAGGCTATAGTTCATAACCGATTGTGTAAAATATTGAATTAAATATTTACAGCTGCAGGTCCTATCGATTTTCTAACAAATTTAATACTCATATAATGTAGTTAAAGCTTAGATCAATATCAAGATTTTATTCTTATTTTATTCTTATTCTTATTAAAATAATTTTAATAAGCACTCAAGCGCATTTGCCGGGTGCTGGAAATCTTTGAAAATGTTTCAATTTTAATGTAGGCTATAGCCAATTTTCAAGCTTTGAAAGTGCTTAGATTTTGGATAAAGGGCTTGGAAAATGAATTGTGTCACTTTGATAATTTATCTTTATAAATAGTTATTTAATTAATGAAATAAAAAACATTTATGCTCTGCATGAAACGAAAACTCCGCTGTGGCCTGACCCGCGGCGTGCGCATTTTGAGCAGTGGGAAAAGACCAAATGCATGGAGGTTATTGATTATGCGCCTTGCGCGCCTCGCGTTTTGTCATTGCGCGCTTTGTGCGCTCCAGAAGAAAAGCATGTTACCTCAGTGGCGTCTTTCATTCTTCAATCAAACGAAAGCAGAGGCGGGGTTTCCTTGGAGGTGACAGAAGTGTCAAGATGACTACGGCGAACTTTTTAATGACGGAGAGACTTGTGGTCGCTGTTTTAAGTCATCCAAAGTTGTATGACTTTACAAATCTTGAATTTCATAATGTTATTTTAAAATTTAAATTATGAAAACACTGACAGCAACACTCGCGCACAATAGACCAGCTGATTCAGTTGTTATCTATAGTGACATTCAAAAGAGCACCGTGCTCCTTTTCTTCTTGTCAACATAAAATGCATTGCAGAGCGCCTCACGTCACTGGAATGAAGAAGCGCGTTCGTTGTGATCGGCTTTTATGAGCAACACATATTTGTTAACTCGCATGACAGTAACACGTGCAAACACACGTGCTTACAGATGTTTTTTGCCAAAAAAGGAAAATGAAAGAAGGATATTCTGGCCACAGTTTGACACAGGAGTTGACGAACCAGCGCTGATCCTGGTCGTCTATGCTGCCTGGCCGTCATAAACTCAACTAGGCATATTCATGATTTAGTGCAGACTACAATCAACAAACCACCCTTTTTTCGATTTGGAAAATAACAGCTATTAATGGTTCTTATATACATTTTAAATAGCCTAATCTACAAATCAAACAAAGAAAAATATTTTATAACTTCGCACCAAACTGATGCTTTCATTTTACAGCTTATAAAACATGTATGCAAATTAATGCAGTATCACATGTAAATAACAAAACTGTTATATGCTTAGCCTATACTTTACAAAATGTATAGGTTCAAAGCCTTATGGTTCATCATTATCTTTCACTATAGGCAGCGCGTGCGCACATGAACCGCAAGTAAGACGGAGGAAATAGGTTAAGTCATTATGGCCAATTATGGCAATATGTAAAATGTTGTTTTCTTATTAAACATTTATTTCTGAAATGTTACTAAAGTGGTTTATAGTTAAATGAAATGTTCAGTTCTTGATATAACATATGGATGTTATGTAATGTAAGTCAGTAATTGTAATGCAGCATCATAATGAACAAATATGCGCTAGTCATTGGCTTATATTAATAAGGAGTTCAAAAATGGTCACGTCCGTAACGCAAAATTGTGGTTGTTTAGAGTAAAGACCTGAGATGAGTTGGCGATTATAATTAGTATGGACATATTTTGGCTTTGTATACAAAGTTTCATTTTATTTGTTATAATATTTATTCCACAATATAAACTTTTTCATTAAATCGTTACGGACGTGACACGTGACCGAAGCTGCGTGCTGTCTTAAATATGTAGCTCATAAATCAAAAGGGCAATAATGTTATGAAAAAGTAAGGATAATTATTTATACTACAGACTCCAATCCTTCTGCAGAATGATTACTGTTAACATAAAGCATGGAAAAGGTGAGTCTTTAACCGCTTTTTTGAAAGCACGAAAAGTGGTTGGATGATAATGAAAATTACCATTGGCACAATCCTCATATTTCATGGATAAACAAACCAATTTCCTTAAAAATTCAACAAGAGCACATCATTACAATAAAATATAGACCTTAATAAGCAAATTGAAATAGGTTTTGTTATTTTGGTCAAAAGTTTATTTTTTCATGATAAGGTTGACATTTTCATGGAATTGCTCATATATATTTTAATATGTTTGAGGTGTTTTAAGCCAGTGTGTTCAAAATCTGATTAAAACTAGACACTGTTTGCTGTCATATGACACAGATATTGTATTTGCAGCACAAACAGAAAATGCACAGTTTAGTTTCATACAGGAGGAGCGACATTTTAAGCCTGATTTATACTTCTGTGTCAGGTGACCGGCGTAACCCACGGCGCATGCAACGCGCGTGGCTGTGCATTTATACTTCTGCGCGCTGTCTCTGTCGGTCTGCATTAACACTTCCGAAACGCCAGATGGCAGTGAGGTATAAATGTTCCTCTGTATCGAGTTTCTTCGCTACTTTTTTGCATTTCCTGAACACACAGAACAAAACTTTCCATCCGGAGCTCCTTCACGGGACTCCACACTTGTAAACAATCGCTCGCACGGCGTCGCGCCATTCGCGCGGCTCTCGGTCCCGCCCAGACTCATCAGCGCTACCAAGCCGACCAATCACAGAGCTTACGCTACGCGTCGTTGCGACGTGTAGTTACATTTTTTGAGAGGTGCACGTCAGTGACGGCAATGGCCACGGCGAAGGGCTATGCGTCAGCGCCGTAGCATACGCCGGTGTTTGATGCAGAAGTATAAATCAGCCTTTACACGTCACCTTATTGTCTAGGTTTGTTGTAATACACCCTGGGGGGAGATGCAGCATTTTGATTTCCACAAGGGTTGAGATGGAACTTTATAAAATAAAAAAAAATAATAATGTTTGAGTATGCTTTGAGTATGCTAAAGTCCAATCAATTGTCTGCAGACCTCTGAGGCAGAATTGTATCAAGGGTTAGGGTTAGTTATAGAGCACAGATCTGGGAAAGGCTACAAATAAAATCAACATTGAAGGTCTCACAGTGACCTCCATCATACATAACTGGAAAAGGTTCACAAGTTTCACGGTAGGTTTGCACCAGCTAATACTAACTTTTTCATTAAACCAGAATGTAAAGTCCATATAAGAGGTTTTAAGCCGCCTTTTCACTGCACACAACATTCGGACATGACTGCTGTAATTAGAGGCGTGAACCTATACTGGTCTCACAGTTTGGTTTGGTTACGATTATCATGCCTTCGATACGGTTCATTTCAATATCACGGTGCATTGACGATGCTTTCTATATACAGTGTTATATTTTAAAGGGGGAGGCTATAACAAGCTGTCTGTATAAACACACAGACACACAGCACCACACTGTCTCTCATTCAAACACGCACACAAACATAGACAGCACCAAACAAACAAACACACACACACAAACTTAAGCCCTCGCAACAGGGAGAGCTCGCGCTGAGCGGAGCAGAAAAACGAAAAAACAAAGAAAAAAAAAGCAGTTTTCCGACGGTCCCTTACAGAGAGCTCCTCTCAGTGCGACCTCTCCCGGCTAAACACATATTGCGAGGGCTTAAACGGAGCAGTGCTCGTAATGTCAAGCAAAAAAAAAATTAAGACAGCTGTGAAACATAACCAGCTTTGTCTTTCTGT